CCAAGAAGCCCCCGAAGGCCCCCAGCTGGCCCAGGAAAGCCCCCCAAAACGCCTCCAAGACGCCTCCAGGAAGCTCGCAAGAAACCCCAAGAGTGCCCCAAGACGCTCCTTAGAGCCTCCCACTACTCTCCATCTTCCTCTTCCTCTTCTCTTCGTGCTCATTCTCCCCCACATGATCCCCGAAGGCTTTCCAAACCGACCCGGAGAACTCATGGTCAGGTACCTTGGCCACGCTCTACCCCATCTCTCCGCCACATCGGCGTTTCCAAAAAGGCAGGTCCGCGGAGCATCAGTCCTCCTACTTCTATGCATTTATCCCCTCCCTTCGTACCGTACCCTCCCCCCATGACACCAGGAATGCCAGCCACCAGGTTGTCCTGCGATCTTCTCCGTCATGGCAGTCAAGCCCGGGCACGATGATCGAACAGAGCACCAACTACACGTGGCGGGTAATGGGGGTACGGGCTTGCCCCTCCACAGCCCAGGCACGGTGGCCTGTAGACAAAAGCCGCTCACATACAAGCATACACATACGCACACCCACATGCACGCACACACACCCACACACCTCTAGCACACTCACACGCCCCTCATCCACAACCACACATACCCTCACACGCACAGGTCACCACATACACACCCACGAGCACGCACACACAGGCACAATCACACACACGCGCACTCACACCGGAGTGCCAGCCACCAGGTCCCCCTGCAAGCGATCCGCGCGTGATCCGCGCGCACATCTCGCACAACCACCTACGCGCCATCACATACACTCAGGCACAATGCACACACACGCGCACATACACCGGACTGCCAGCCACCAGGTCCCCCCTCGGACGATCCGCCCATGATCCGCCCGCGCACCTCGCACAAACACCTACGCACACACACAGACACTACGCACACAACCCACGGCCAACACACTGGGAACCCACGGACTTCTCCAAGGTTCAAGGGGGGCCCCACCGGCCGAAGAATTGCCCCTCCACAGCCCATGCACGGTCGCCCGTAGACAAAAGCCACTCACATACAAGCATACACATACGCACACCCACATGCACGCACACACACCCACACACCCATAGCACATTCACACGCCCCTCATCCACAACCACACATACCCTCACACGCACAGGTCACCACATACACACCCACGAGCACGCACGCACAGGCACCATACCACACATGCGCGCACTCACACCGGAGTGCCAGCCACCAGGTCCCCCTGCGGGCGATCCGCGCGTGATCCGCGCGCACATCTCGCACGACCACCTACGCCCCATCACATACACACAGGCACAATGCACACACACGCGCACATACACCGGACTGCCAGCCACCAGGTCCCCCTTCGGATGATCCGCCCATGATCCGCCCGCACACCTCGCACAAACACCTACGCACACACAGACACTACGCACCCAACCCACAGCCAACACACTGGGAACCCACGGACTTCTCCAAGGTTCAAGAGGGGCCCCACCGTCCGAAGAATTGCCCCTCCACAGCCCATGCACGGTCGCCTGTAGACAAAAGCCGCTCACATACAAGCATACACGTACGCGCACCCACATGCACGCACACACACCCACACACCCATAGCACACTCACACGCCCCTCATCCACAACCACACATACCCTCACACGCACAGGCCACCACATACACACCCACGAGCACGCACGCACAGGCACCATACCACACATACGCGCACTCACACCGGAGTGCCAGCCACCAGGTCCCCCTGCGGGCGATCCGCGCGTGATCCGCGCGCACATCTCGCACAACCACCTACGCCCCATCACATACACACAGGCGCAATGCACACACACGCGCACATACACCGGACTGCCAGCCACCAGGTCCCCCTTCGGACGATCCGCCCATGATCCGCCCGCACGCCTCGCACAAACACCTACGCACACACAGACACTACGCACCCAACCCACAGCCAACACACTGGGAACCCACGGACTTCTCCAAGGTTCAAGAGGGGCCCCACCGTCCGAAGAATTGCCCCTTCTCCGTGCGTTGGAATGTGTCAGGCGACCCTGATCACCATGCCACGCTGTCGTTGGACTCAGCGTCTTTCTTCCCCGAGGCATCATCTTTCCTCCGTAGCCGTCTGGGCTCAGACGGTACCATGTTCTCTGGGTTGCGGAAGGTTGCTGGCGGGGCATGGCTCCTCCCTGGCTCTGCAACTGCGTTTCTCGCAAGTCTGCAGTGCCGTCGCACACGCTACACGCGTTGTGCTGGCGACGACGGCCAAACCTCTCAAGTGCACAAACGACCCGCTGGCCGTGGCCGACCCAGCGCTGCCGAGCTGCATTGCTCCCGCTGTGGCCTCGACCTTCCGCGTGAGAGCTGCAGCCAGTACCAGATCTACCGACCGACTCGAGCATGCCGCACTTGCGCAGCTAGTGCTCCCCAAGCGTCTGGCCAGACCCGCTCCCGCCTGGAGACCACCTGCGCCCAATGCGGCCTCACTGTGCCCAGTGACACGCTCGCCCACCACCAACGATATTCAGGAGGAGTTTGCCGGGAGTGCGCCGCGAACGGACGCCCAACTTATGACGACAAACCCTTCGTAGTAGGCGACATGGCCCGCATGTGCCCGCACTGTTCAGCACGGCTCTTCTCTTGCGAGCCGTTCACATTCTGCTGCAATAGCGGTAAATGGGCAGTTCCCTTCACCGACTTCTTCCCCTTGCCTTCCCCTGCTCTTCTCCGCGTGCATCAATCCACGTGGCCTGCCACCGACGCAAAAGGACATCCCATCCACGACGCCGCTACGGACACACCCCGCCTCACGGGCTTCACAGCTGTCAGCCGCCGCTATAACAATTTATGCGCTTTGGCAGTACACGAGATGCAAAGCGCCGGTCCCGCCAAGGAGCTACGGTTCGGAAACTATTTGCGCCCTTCCAACTTACGCATACATGGCACCATGTACCGACGCCTACTCTCAGCGCAAGACTCCACCGCAGCACGGTACCTCGTCGTGGACCCTCAAGAACGCGCCCGACAGGCTGCCACACTACAGCTCGATACCAAACTTCTCCGGCAGCTTGAACGTGCCATCCTGCCCATCAACCCATTCATGACCGAGATCAAGCGCCTCGGCGCGGTCAGCCGCCCGGGCCCCGACGCAGCTGTCCATCTCAAATGGGACCCTGGCATCAATGAGCTCGCCGCCATCGTCGACGCCCACAGCGATGGTCGAGCGGAACCACGCACTGTGACATTCCGGCTGCACTCCACGAGTACACCTCGATACCTGCACCCACTGCACCCCTTCTACGAGCCGTTGTCTTATCCATTGTGGTTCCCCGGTGGAGGGCGCGGCTGGAGCCCAGATGCAGTAGTCAACGACGTCCACATCAGTCAGATGTGGTGGTACCGGCAGTGCCTGCTTCGCCTCAGTCACATGCACGCGTGCGGACGACTACTCAACGAATGGCTCGTCAACGTGCACTGCCGGATGGAGGACGAACGCCTCAGCTTACTTCGCCGAGAACAACCGACGATGCGAGCGTCCCAGCGTGAGCTCTGCGAGACTCTGGCCAACAATTCTGGTCAACCTGCCGTGGGCGTCCGGGTGGTTCTCCCTTCCAGCGTCCCCGGTTCCCCTCGCCACCTTCGACGACTTCGCATTGATTGTTTGGAACTCGCTCGCCGGAAAGGACCCCCCACGTTTTTCATCACACTCACATGCAATCCGTATTGGCCCGAGATACAGGCCGCCCTTCTGCCAGGACAATCGGCTGCTGACCGACCGGACGTTGTGGTACGAGTCTTCCACGCAAGACTCCTGGACATGATCGCGTTCTTGAAAACCGATTTCTGCGGACGCCGACGGTGCATCATCCGCGTGATAGAATACCAGATGCGCGGGTTGCCTCACGCGCATATCGCCGTTGCCGTGGAGAACCCACCGTCCAGCGCAGAAGAGATTGACGCACTGATTTCGTGCGAGGTCCCTGCAGAACCAGGACCACTGCGTGACTGCGTTCTTCGTCACATGATTCATCGGTGCACTTCTGCCTGCCACCCCCACGACCCCGATCAGGAATGCATCAAAGGCTGTCCGTGGCCGTTCCTGGACTCCACCGAGATCGACGCGCGAGGCTACCCGCATCATCGCCGGCGCCCGTGCAAAGGTACTTGCCCGAACTGCCAGTCCAATGGCCCCGCTTACGGCCGCCGCAACGTCTGCTGCAACCGGCTCGTCGTCGAGTGCTCTCCTCGGGTGTTGCTGAAGTGGGACGGCCATGCGAATGTCAAGTTCGCCGGGTCTGTGAATTTGTTCGAGTACCTGTTCAAATACCTCTTCAAGGGACCAGACCACACGTTGTGCACTATCGGGTCCGACGACCAGCCCGTGGACGAAATTACTGATTGGCTCCGCGGACGATACCTCGTGGCCACCGAGTGTGCATGGAGAATCTTCGGTTACACCACCTACGACCGCGTCCCGACGGTTTTATGCTTGCCCGTCCACCTGCCCGGTGAGAACTGGGCGGCGTTCTCCGAGGGCTTCGAAGCTGACGCGCTGGACCAGAGCACGTCGCAGCTCCAGCGATACTTCCACCGCCCCATGCACGAACCGTTCCTGAGCTGCAAGTACCACGAATATTTCGAGCGTTTCATTGTCGGCAAGGTTTGCCCTGCGAGCTTCAAATGCTTCTTCCCGGGGACGTTCGGCATTCACCTCACCGTGCCGCCTGAGAGCGAATGGCCAGTTCTGTCCCAACGGTGGCACCGCATCCCCAAGGACGAGGCTGTCCGACCCTGCGTCGACATGGCGCCTGGCGGTCGCCGAAACTACGTCTACGTCCGAACCCGCGGCGAGCCGCCCGTGTGCAGACTGGAGATGAAATACCCCCGCCAAAAAGAAGTCTTCTACCTGAGACAGATGCTCCTGCACTTCCCCAAGAAGAGCTTCGACGATTGCCTTTGCCACCACGGCCGCAAATACCCCACCTACGAAGAGGCCATGCTCGCAACAGGCATGTTCGCAAAAGACGACGAAGCCTCCCGCGTCCTTCAGGAGCTCGTCGACCTGCGCTACACTGCGCACCAGCTACGGTTCGCGTTCATCGTTCACCTCGACCTCGACGCGACCCCCGTCACGCTCTACAACGCGTTCGAGAAGCCCATGCTCAAGGACTTCCTGGACCGGGGGCTTGCTCTTCCCACAGCCCGGGAGGAATTGCAGCGCTCTTTGCGCGTGGCCGCGGCGGCGCAGGACCGGCCCGACGCGCTCGCCTTTTAAACTGCAGGCCCCCCTGCACCGTCATCCGCCCGGACGCGCCTGCCTCCTGGCGCGCCCCGCCGCACGTCGGCGCCCCGCGCGCTTGACTATCAAAGCTTGCGCGCACTCCTGCGGAAGGACCCGCAGCAGCACGCGGCCACGACCGCGATTGTGGCCAGCATTGACGCTCAACAGTCAAAGCTCATCTTCGCCCACGGCGCCGCGGGCACAGGGAAATCCACCATAGCCAAATACATCCACCAATACACGGAACATTGTGGCAAATCTTGCGTGAACGTCGCCACCACAGGCCAGGCGGCCTTGCTTCTCCCAGCCGGCGCTACTGCTCATTCGACTTTCAAGATTCCCATCTCTGACGACGACCCGCTGACTTGCACGCTCGGGCTGCGCGCTTCAGAGGCCGTGCGCCTCGCTCGCGCTTCCGTCATCCAGTGGGACGAATGGCCTTGCGCCAAACGCACTGCCTGGGAAGCTGCCGTTCGATTTCTCGACGCACTCCGCCAAGCGCACGGCGACGATAACGCACCCAAGACAATCGTGTGCTACGGCGACTTCCGGCAAATCCCTCCGGTACTCAAGCACGCGTCCCGACGGGACACCGTCGCCATGAGCGTCCGCTCTTCTACTACATGGGACTCCTTCGACCTGTACGCCTTGACCACCAAGCACCGCCAGAAGAAAGATGCACATTACGCCACGTGGCTGGAGACCATCGGTGACGGCACCGCGCCCGCTACGCACTCCCTCGATGGCGTTCCCGGCTACGTGGACTTGCGTTTGTGTCCTGCCCTGCTCGACCCCCGCGGAGCCATCGACTTCTGCTTTCCCAGCCCCAACGACGCCCGCGCGCGCGCCTCAAGCAAGATCTTGGCCGTCACCAGCGACGCCGTGGACGCCTTCAACGAGTCCATACTTGACGTCTTCACGCAGACGTACCGACGCCCAGAATTCCATCGGTTCAGTGCTGACACTGTCGAGATCGACCGCGCCGACGCCTTCATCGAACCGCACGTGACGCCCGAGTTCCTCAACGTGCAAACGGAAAACGGCGTGCCCCCGCATCGCCTGCGTTTGGTGGTAGGCGCCCTTTATGAGATCATGCGCAACTTCAGTCCGGACGACCGATTGATGAACCGCACTCAGGTCACCCTCGCCGCCGTCCACGAACACCACGTCGACGTCGAAACTCTGGACGGACGGACGTTCCCGTTGCCCCGCATTTGCTTTCGGTGGCACTTGGCCAAGGGCGCTACCACAATCGTCAGGCGGCAGTGCCCCCTCCGCCCTGGATACGCTTCTACTTTGAATGGTGCCCAAGGCAGCACGTTGACCAAGTGCGTCGTCGATTTGAGGCGCAGCCCTTTTGCTCATGGACATCTCTACGTCGCGCTCAGCAGGGTGCAGCACCGAGAGAACATTCGCATTCTATCCGCTTCAGAAAGGTGTTCTCCAGCAGGAGAACACCGTTCTCCTGCTGGAGAACACCGTTCGTCATCGTCGTCGTCGCTGTCGTCGTCGTCGCCGCCGCCGCCGCTGCCGTCGTCGTCGTCGTCGTCGTCGTCGTCGTCGTTGTCGTCGTCGTCGTCGCTGCAGCCGCTGCCGCCGCCCACCCTTGCCCGATCGGCGCCAGCTCGACCGGCTCGCGCGCCGGCCCGGCCCGTTTCGGCCCCGCCACGCCGGGCCGAACGAGGAGGCGGAGGGCAGGGGAGAAGGAGAAGGAGGAGGGGCAGGATGAGGCGAAGGAGAAGGAGAAGGACCAAGATTCGAAGGCGAAGCGTAGCGAGCCTTCAGAGTCTTGTATATATATATATATATATATATCTATCTATCTAGAGACATAGATACATACATACATGAATGCATGCATACGATTATACATGCATACGCACAGCCATGCACACAAACATCTAGACATACATGCACACATGTATGCACACATACATGTATACAATATCTCTATACATACACATACGTGCATATATGCATACATACACCCACGCATGCATGCATGCACACATACATACTTATACAGATAGGCATATACATACACGTGTACATACACATACACATACACATACACACATACACATACACATACACATACACATACACATACACAACACATACGTACATATGCACACATACACCCATTCTTACATACACCCGTACACACATACATACATACACCCATACATTCATATAGCCATACATCTATGCATTCATACATCTAGACACACATGCATACATACATACGTACATACGCACATCCATACACATACTCACATGCACACTTGCATACATACATACTCCCATACATACACACATACACACATACATATGCATACATACATGCACATACGCATACAAACGTACATGCATACACATACATCTGTACATGCATGCATCCATGCACGCATGCATACATACGTACATACACACATGCGTACACACATACATACATACACACATTCATTCATACATACATTTATGCATACAAACACACATACACATACATACACACATACATGCATACATACATACATGCATCCATACATACACAACTGTATGCATGTATGCATACATGCATGCATATATACATGCATACAGTCATACACACATACATTCACATGTACGTGTATATTCACACATGTGTCAACACGTGTGCATATATGTTTATGCACAAGGCAGCATTGGATGAGTCAATTATCCATCTATGGAGAGATCGACTCATATGAGTATGTATGTATGTCTGTCTGTCTGTCTGTCTGTCTGTATGTATGTATGTATGTATGTATGTATGTATGTATGTATGTACGCACACACACACACCTTGCACTCCTGCTACAGAGGGAGAGCTTTCCACCTGGCGCCCGTACCGTCCCGGGCGGCCCGGCCCGAGCCTCGCGTGCCCGAATAGCGGCCCGCCGCTGCCTTTGCTCGGGGCACCTCGCGTCGCGGCTTGACGCTGGCCTGCCCGTGGCGCGGATGGCGCGGATCTCCTGCGGGGGCCTCCGCGAAGGACCTTGCTCGGCTTCGCGGAGTCCTGCACGACCTGGTGCGCGCGAGGGTGCCTCTGGTGCTCCAATTAATTCCCTCTGAGCTTGAGTCGGGCATGTCCCTCTACAGAAAAAAAATGTTCCAAAAACAGTTAAAAACAGTCTGGGGACACGCACCATCGGCACATGCACGGACAGGGTCACCGGGCACCACATCGCACGCCTCAAGTGGGATCAATGGGAGCCCGAGTGGAAGACCGCGCCAGTCGATTGGGCGGAACGGGGACTACCGGGTCCCTGGATTCCGATGTGCCGCGGCCAGGAAAATGGTCTTCCCACCAGCCTGGGACCACGTCCCAGTCCTCCACCCGACGACTTACCAGGAGTTCACGGCTTTGCCGCCACTGGGAGTAACCGGGAACAAAGATCAAGTCCGCCCACCAAACAGTGCCTGGGCCCCTGGAGCACCGGCGCATCCCCGAACACGGAACACCAGGACACCGAGTGAACCCAAACTATTGACCGCCGACGACATCGCTCGCAACGAGAAGGCAGCGCAAGCGATGGCACCACCAGGGCCCTCCGGTGGTGCCTTGCCAGTCGCCCCCCCTCAGGAAGAGGCCGCCTCGGTACTCGGCACTGGCAGCCCAGGTGTCGCTGAGAGCGCTGCTGGCCATAGTCCCCACGGCGCACCTGGCGTTGTTCCCAGCCGGCCAGTCTCCGGGACACAGGGCGGCTCAGGACAGCCAAGTGCGCCGTCCAACCCTTTCACCACACCGGGCGTCGCAAGCAACGAGGAGCCGGAAACCGAGGTTACTACGGGTCGCGGACGGGATGCCGCTACTGAAATCAGTCTACCTTTTCTGGTGGAATCACGGAAGACAGGCGATCATTCCCTCGATTCCCATCGGAAGGGTCCCCAGTGGAGTGGGTCACTCTGCCCAACACCTGAGCAAGTGACGTCAAGGAATACGTCGCCAGACTCGTCCGGATGAATCAAATTGAAACGTGTGCCAACTTGGACCCAGACTACGACGGAAAGACCAAAACTCGTAGGGACTTGAAAGCCAAGCGCACCTGCGCCTTAGACGCTTGCCCGGAACTGGTGACACCAGCGAGGCGACACTGGTTCTTTCAGGATTACAAACTGGAGGACTGGATCGAAGAGAGCGAAGCCACGGACTACTACGTGGTCAGCTGGAACGCCGAGTGGCAGCTGACAGCAGACTGCGGGGAGGAAGGAGTACGAGCCGTGCTGCTGTCACACAAAGGACCCAACACCGACGAAATCGCCTGTCTCCGCGTGGTCTTCCCACGCTTCCCCGGGCGAGTCATCCCAGATGACAAGCGTGGGCTCCATCCGCATTGTCGCGTCTACCCAACCAATGGCTGTATGGTCATGCACGACAGGGTCGACGGGCCAGTGCACTGCACCTCTGCTGTAGCGCCCCTGCCTGAAAAGACAAGTGCGCCTCACTACTGCGTCGACATCGCGCCCAGTGCGATCCAGCACGAAAAGGTCAAAACCGCCTTACGAACATGTACCATTCGAACGTACACTGGAACGGTCTATGGGGGACCACGCTAGCTGAGTTGCCATGCGCGCTGGCCTTTGCGACAGACAACAACGGGAAGAAACGAAGTTTCAACGACACTTGCAGGAACGCGCTGAGCGGACAGCTTCTGCGTCTCCGAAGTCGTGCAACGTTCGGAGGCCAGTTGCTCGGTCCGGACCAGTTTGGCGACCTGGTGAGCAGGCCGGGCGCGGTGGAACCGATCACGGGCGTCGAACTAGACGAACGCCCAGGCTCGGCGTTGCAGCGTGCCAACAACGTGCCCGCTGAGGACACCATCAAAGGGGTCATTGCAGCGCATGACCTGACCGATGACCACGCGCAGGCATTCCGCTCATCCGTCAAACATCTCGTCACGGCGGCACAGGGCCCGCCTGGCAAAAGGAAAACGCGTTTCGCCGCCGCGCTAGCCAGGATTTGGGCACATGTCGCTGGACTCGGTTCTTCTGTTCTCGCCGTCGCTGGCTCCAACGCAGCAGCAGACCAGGCGGCCGCCGCCTTCGAAACAGCGCGCAGAGAGGACCGCCTCGACAACTTTCCGCAATGCCCGAGCTGCGCTGTGCGACTTGCAGTGGACGAACGCATTGCGCATCCTGGCGCTCGCAAGTTGTCCGCCACCAGCCGCTATCGACGTGCGTGGACACTCGAACCCACCAGGTCCAACAAGAGTAAGAGCTGGCGCAAGTCCAAAGACGACCTCAGCAGCAAATGCAGCATCATCATCGCGACCCACGAAGGCTCCTGGAGGCTCGACCAGCCCAGCGCACCCAAGGTGACCCTAGGTATCACCGACGAGGCCGGCCAGGTCAACGAGGTCTTTGCTGCCATCTCCATCGGCATCATGGTCGACTGTGGCGCCCACATCGTTCTCGTGGGCGATCCCGGGCAGCTCCCGCCAACGGTGCAGTCCGGGTACGCAGAATACTTGGGGCTACAAGTTTATGTTTTCGCTGAAATTCAAGACCCCCCGGGAGAGGACAGACCTGCCGCAGTATTTCTCACGAGTGCCTCAGGTGCCACCCCGACGTCCTTAGCTTCTCCAGGTTCGCTTACTACGACGAGAAGATCGAGTCAGGCCTCATCGCACCACTACAAGACCGTCCCATTGTCAACGGGCTTCCGTGGGTCAAGCACCGTCCACTGGACAACGGGCGACTGGATCATGTCGCCAAACAGCAAGGAAAAGACGTGGACGAATTCATGGGCGAGATCTGCGACCTACGCGCCGAGGGGGCGATGCCTGGAGACGTCTCCCGTGTGCTCATGATCGACAATCCACGTGCGGACAGCGCCTCCGCTATCAAGAGCGGCTGCGCCGACCTCCACGGCGCTGCCACATGCCTTGAAGTTGTTCGCGCGCTTGGCCCCGCCATGCTTAACTTTGAACCAACCGTCGAGGTGATCGCCCCCAACGCGGCGCAGCGGACCGTGCCGTGCGGCGGGTGGCCGCAGGGCAAGAGTGGTTTCTGGAAGAACGCCGCGCTGGCTGAATCGAAGCAGGGTAAGAAAAGCCAAGGCGCTACAGCGGCTTCCGAGCCAAATCCACAGGGCCAGTCATCCAATCCTTTCTCCCCATTTCATGCCCAACCACGCGCGGTTAGCGCGCGCGCCCGCTCTGCTCCTCCTGCCCGCGCCTCTGGCCCAGGCGCCAGCTGCCCACTCGCTGGCCCCCCGACTGCCGACAGCGGTTTGATACTTTCGTTCAAGGGATTGGCCGAAACGTTCCCCGACTTGACGGAGTTGGTCAGCTCTCCCTCTCCACGATTGACGCCAGTCAGGGAGGAGAAGCTGACGTAATTATCCGCAAGGGCTTCGCCCCCTGCCGCCGGCCCCCTCTCTCGGAGAACGGGCCATGGAAGAGCTAAGTCATGAGGCCTTGGCGCTGTCGTGAAGCAGTATCGAAACTTCATGCGAAGCCGAGTCGCAATCAGCAAAACCAACTGATCACAAGAGGGGTTACCACACCTGGCGATTGGTAAGACGTGTATGGTTTAAGGGCTGGTTACCACACCTTGCGATTAAAGGGCAGAGGGAGTTCTCGCAGTTTGGGTTGCCACGCCTTGCGATGGATGTGCGTGATGGGTTTGAAATTCAGAAATGTGGCAACTCCCATGTGTTTTTGGACCCTGACCCCGCGGATCTGCGTAAGGGGCGGCGCCGAATTTCAGAAATGTGGCAAATCCCTTGTGTTTTTGGACCCTGGCCCCGCGGATCTGCGGAGGGGTGGCACCGAATTTCAGAAATGCGGTAAATCCTTTTTGTATTTTTTGACCCTGACCCCGCGGATCTGCGTGAGGGGTGGCACCGAATTTCAGAAATGTGGCAAATCTCATGTGTTGTTGGGCCCTGGCCTCGCGGATCTGCGGGAGGGGTGGCACCGGATTTCAGAAATGTGGCAAATCCCTTGTGTTTTTGGACCCTGACCCCGCGGATCTGCGTGAGGGGTGGCACCGAATTTCAGAAATGTGGCAAATCTCATGTGTTGTTGGGCCCTGGCCCCGCGGATCTGCGCGAGGGGTGGCGCCGAATTTCAGAAATGTGGCAAATCCTTCTGTGCTTTTGGACCCTGACCCCGCGGATCTGCGTGAGGGGTGGCACCGAATTTCAGAAATGTGGCAAATCCCGTGTGCTTTTGGACCCTGACCCCGCGGATCTGCGTGAGCGGTGTCGATTTCGAGCCTCCCCAGCAATTCAGACAACGCGCCCAGGGGACGCTGCAAAATCCTGTTTGGGCCTCCCCCCCCCTCGCGCGGTCAATCAATTAGTTGCAGTAACACTGGAAACTACAAGCTACAACTGGTACTGGAAACTACAAACCCGCGCCTACAGCCTGGTGGCCCCGCAAGGGGGCCGGCGGATTTACCTTGCCACGCGCTCCAACGGGTCCTGCGACTGGGTTTTCCCCAACGCGCCAAACAGGACCAACGTCGCCCTGGCCAGAGCTAAACGGTTCGCGGTGCTCATCGGATACCGGCGGATGTTCAAGGCTGCGTCCGAGTCTGCTCGTCGGACCCTCGGCGAATGCGGCGTGGCCGCAGACCACTGGGCGAGATCTGCCTCCGCTGAGCTTGGGGGGGGGGGGGGGGGGGCGCAGCGAGGGATGGGAGCCCTTCAGCTCATTAGCTCACTGTGCTCCAACTGCTGAAATCTGAAATCGGGGCCGCCATGCCGGGCATCGACCCAGCCGCAACAGCGCCGAGCGCTGCGTCCAGCATCCTGAAGCAGAAGGTTAAAATGCGAGGGGGCCAGGCCAAAGGTTTCGTCCACAGCATCGACAGACCGCTGCCGGAAGGGTTTGAATGAGGAGCCCTGGCAAAGCAGCGCAACGACTCACTGAGGGAGCTCCTGGCCGCGCCCGCTCTCTTTCCTGTTCCCCTCCTTGCATCTGGCCTTCGCCCTCGCGCCCTGAGCCCCGCGCAACACCCCGGCGATCCCAATCTCTATGGCAGGAAGATGTGGAGCCACCAAGGGTTTCTCTACGACGTTACGGTCGGAATTCATGCCGGCAGCCGGACATGCAACAATCTCTGGGCGCGCCTGATGCGCGCGGTCGGGCTCGGCCACAAGTGGGGCGACAACGGCGCTCCGCTCTCGGCGGCCATCCTGCCTGAAGGACCAAGAGGCTGCCTGCAGAAACGCGCGTCCAAGGACTGTCGGGGGACGCCGGGTGGCATGGGTAAACAGCTACCCGCGGTATGGATTGCCACGACGACACAGTGTCCAATGCGCCAACTTCATCCAGGGATGGACGGCCTGGAAAGCATCACCAAAAGCGACTGCATGCCTACTGACCCCACCGCGTGTGCTCAGGCCTGCGCGGCCCTCGTGATGATGATGCTAGCGCTTCGGGAACCAAGGGCCTGTCTCTTCCCATGTTCCGAACAAGAAGGGGCAGGGGATATCGTGGATTCCGTCCTGGGCACGTGCAAACCTGGCAGCTCAACTGGCACCGCGCCCGCCGCCAAGGACCTTCATTTCCGGGCGCAGGTCGGCCTGGCATCGAATATTTTCCAACCACGACTACCAGAACGTGCATCGGAAATTTACCGACGCGCTAAGACACGTGAGCGCGCTTGCAAGGATCAGCCGCCATCGCGATGTCTCGAAACAAGCAGGATGTCCATCAACGTGGGAAGAATGCAAGCGTTCTGACTTTCACATCAAAGGGGCCCTGCTGGTCATCGACTAGCTCGTCGAACTGCTCCAATTACCGCTGGCTCTCACGGATGACCAGCCTGACAACGACACAACCAGCTGCACCATCTGCTGGCTCTACAAATCCATCGCAGGGAATCACAAGCATCTCGGGTGCACGCCGGACCAGAAGCTGCACAGCGCGGGCGCAGGGCGAGAAATGGACCAGAAGGAGCTTCTCATACCTGAACCCCCTGCAGCGACACTTGGCGCCACAATGACACCGGAAAGGCTTCGAACAGGAGACCAGCGCTTCTCGCCGTCGCAGAACACAGCCAGCTTCCACTGCGACGAGTGTCAGAGAGGCCCCTCCACAAGCTTCGATGGCACCTGGGAGGACGACGATCTGCGTCAACGTATGGCTACGGCAAGGACTGCAGGGCGGCGCGAGGGACTCAACTGCCGTTGGCTGTGCACTGGGTGCTGGGTGGAGAAGCCTCGAGAAGCAAGGTGCTGCTGCCCCCGCAGGCGACTCGACGCGCGAAAAGCTGGCCAACCTCGGGAATAGCATGCCCAGCAGGACCGCAGCCTTCAGTCTGACACCGTCTGTGCACCTCCCGACTGGGCATGCCGAGATCGCAAACCCAACCGCCGATCGTCTGCTACGCGACCTCCCTCTCGCACCTGACTCGGCCAACGACCCCGGGGTGACAGGCGCGCCAAACCCCCCGACGCGACCGGGCGACGGCCGTTTCGGCACAGAGGGGCTCAAGTCTTGGATCTACAGTGCTACCTGCGACGGCTGCCCAGAGCCCGAGCTGCTATGCATTTGGAAACGCGGGCAGCCAGCGGTCGGGTGCTTCGTCTGGCGACCGACTCCCGGCAGGGAGGACGCCGAGCAGTGCGACCTACTTCCCCGGGGCAATTGGATCGACTGCTCGACGAGTGGCGAATGGAACGCGGGGTGGTGCTGCGGGAATTGTCTTGCTCACATCTTTGACGCTGCTCCATCCGTCGTCAACCGCATCCTTGCGCGTGACGCGCCATCGATGTATCCAGCCCCCCCCCGCAGCGCGGACATCCAAGAAGAGGGGGGAGGTCGCGGGGGGCCTCGCCCCAGCACTTGGCAAAGAAAGCGCAGGTGCCGCGCGGCGACGACGCCGATGGGTGCGGGTCACCATCTGAGACGTCGCCACTGCCCGCGCCCAATCCAGAACGAGTTGACGCAATCAAGGAAATGCTTCCGAACATCAAGACCCCGCAACTGCCAGACGTGGCGCCAGCGCCGGGCTCGACATTTCCTTCCAGGCATGGGCTGGCGACAACAGCGGCGAACAGGGGCACACCCCAGTTCAAATGTGCCTGCACCTCAGACGTACCAACGCAGTTGCCAACGACATCTTCTACGTGCTTGCGAACCAGTGCGGGGTGCCATGCAAAGAGTTGGACGTCAACTGGCTCACCGTTCTGGCCTGCTCCACCCTGGCTTGGACGTTCCCTCCGACGGGACTCACTACCGACGGATTGGCGCAGGGCACGGAATGGGTTGGTAAAAGATGGGCCGCTGGACTGGTCGTGCAACGCCTCATCGGGAAGGACGATCGGCTAAATAGACTGCGGGTGCCACGCGCCCACGAAACCCTCCACGGGAACAAGGGCCCGAGGGTCCACAGCACAGACGAACTTGCTCACTGGCTGGCCAGACTTGGCTTCGAGGACGCCCCCGACCATGTGATGCGACTGGGCGACGTTCGCTTGGGAACGCTGGACAGATGCATGCGCCCGCGCGGGATAGGATCTCGGCGAATCGTCCCAATCCGTACCGCTGCACCATTCAACGTGTCCTTTCAGGAGCTTATGGAGCAAATGCCCACGTTGGCTGATGACGCCAAGGAAAACATCCTTTCCTTGTGCGATCCTGGCTCGCAACGGGCACGCGACGAGGAGAAGAGGCTGGGACCCAATGGCAGCGTCGTCATGAACGCCTCTCTCGGGAGGCATTTATCTCCTGCTCACCCCGGCGCGAACTCAAGCGGCAAGCCACTGTCTCGACCCGGAGGTATTCGAACAGTGACAAGGAATACCGGAAGCAGCTCAGACAGCGAGCCTGCTGCCGCCGGAAATGAACACAGGGGCCGTTGTGGCGACGACCCGGACTGCGACCCGGATAAGGTGAGCGAGGAATCTCAAGCGGACGTAGCAGACGAGCTATGGTGATGGCAGTATGAAGGAAGCTTAGCTAAAGGCGATGGTCTCAACGCCGAGACGGCTGACGACGAAGCATCCAGCGTCGCAGACGACAGACCCCGGCTCTCGAGGAAGCCAGATCCGCCACGCCGGCCCCTCCGGAAGGGTACGCGCGGGGCT